GGCTCCAGAGATAAATTACTCATTTTATGCGATGGAATAGGGTGTTTGGGAGGATGTTTTATTAGATTCCTTCAGCTATCCAGATGTTAAAATATCAGAGAAATTCGGTCGTATCTTCACAAAGCCAGATACATGAACTTTTTATGCAGAATTCTGTGTTAGTAGGGAAGACAGATTTTCCTTAAAAAAGCCAACCAATTTAATCATACTTCATTCCTGAACAGCCACAACCTTTCAGCAGCAGCACTGACAAGCTCAACAACACATATTTTAATTCTCTGGATGTCTGTCTGTGACTCATTTTCCTTTTCAGGGACATTTGGGTGGACTGGAGAAATGCACCATGAAGAAAGAACTGCAGACCGGGGCTCAGGTCTAAGGTGATGTGCCTCCTCACAACAGTGAAGGCTCAGTGCATACCAAAACAGTGCTACTTCCACCTGTCAGGGGGAGGAAGATTTATGCTCTTATCAAATTACATATGAGATAAAATCTAGTATCACTGTACTGATTCCATTAGGGCACTCTTCAACACAGCCCAGATTTTGACTTTGATTCACCAGAGGCAGGTTTAATTTCCATAGGTCTACTCCTATGATTGATGTTAACTGCAAGCTTTAAATAGATGATTGGTGAATCATGTCCACTTAGGGATACCCAAGGCATCTCAGGTTAAAGTTGTACTGCAACAGACTCCAGGTCTGCTGGAACACACCCAACATAGTTATGGACTCTGCAAGGTGTAGTACCTACAAAAAAATACGTGGATTTTGGGAAGAATACTATCAGGAAGAGGTGGCCAAAAAAAACAGGGGAAAAAACCCAAAAAGAAGGCAAAGCAAATGAAAGTTCTTTGATCATGCTCTCAACTATCATACTAGCTCAGACAAGAGTCTACATTCACATCATTTACTAACAGGTGGCATTTATTAGAAAATTACAATGCAACAGTGGGTAGAAAACAGGAAAGCTCTCTTTCCTTTTTGGAAGAGGGTTTTTCTAGCTTTTTGTGTTGTTGTTTTTGTTGCTGTAACTAATTTATATATTTATTTTTACAAAATAAGCCCGGTTACTGAAAATTAATTTATGTTCCCTTGCTACTATACCAACAAAATGAAATCCAAGTTCTTGCATGATGTGACATGTAAACCATTTGTGCTGAAGTGACTGCCAGAAATGGATGGAAAGTTTTTATCCTGAAGAAACAGTCAAATAAAATGCTAGCGTAATCTAAAATTATTCACTGACAGTAACTGCAGGACTTTTTGTGTCTTCTCTTTTTAATCATCAATTTAGCTGAGTCTGGTATTCAACAACTTAGAGCATCAGCAAAGTGATGTTTTGCCTTCTGATGTTCAGTAAATCTGAAAACAAGTGGGTTTTTTTCAAAAAGGAAGACATAAAACTATTTTTTTGCATTTCATGGGGAAAAAAACCCCATCAGTAGTGCTGCTGTCTCAGGTAAAGCACACGTTTTCAAAGGAAGTATGGTGAGTGTGTTACACTGTTTTGCCAGTTTCACTCAGATCCTGATGCAGGTCAGGTTTTAAAAGCTGGACAGCCTCAGCTCCACCTAGATGCTGTGATCACAACTGCGTGCGCTTATCTCAGCATTCTCGTGTGCCATGATTCAGCTTCATTTCCTTTCTTTAAGGCAGTTAGAAGTCAACAAAAATAGGTAAATGGCTTATTTCTTTTTCATAATATAACTTTATTATTTCCAGACAGCCACTTGCTCCTTTGCTCAGAGAAAGTTAGAACAGAGTGCCCATTTTTCTGCACCAGGAAAAAAGGTGACAGTTCATTAGCTTGTGCTATCAAACTCTAAAATTACACAGTCACATCAATCCATCTCGTCTCCACTATGGAGCTTCTCTGTTTTCACAAAGCCTATTCAAAACTTCCCCAAGGGCCAAGACCAACACTTGAAAAAGAGTCTAACTTTGTACAAAACCAAAAGCATGCCCTATTACCCACCATCTGAGACACCACCGCCCGACCTCATTCTTTCTAGTGCTGTTATTTCAGACCTGTATCTGTTCTCAGTCTGACCACAGCTGGGAGTAGTGATCTCCACCCTGCCCCCCAAGCCTGTGTAACATTAGTTTGAATCTTTTATTCATTCACTAACAGCAATATCAGGAGATTTCTTTAAATGACACCAATATGCCCTGACCACTGATCTGCCAGAAGGATTCTTTAGCGTTGTGGCAATAACTGGCTATCAGAGAGAGACTGCTTTGAAGTTACGATTTGCAGCATCCAGAGTACTTGGGTTGGATCAGTTTTTACTGGATTACTTTCATGGCAAGGTCTTTTTGTCCCATCTGAAATGTTTCTTTGTGAGCAATGAAGGAGCATGCATCTTGGGAATGATTTGATACTTCAAGACATGATTCTTGTAGTTTATCTTGCACTAAGCTTCTCTTCTGAAGGAAATGCTGCAGCGCCCTTGTATTGATCACAGTGATAGCGCATGCAACGTGCCTTTTATCACTGGGCTGTCTGCACTATCACTTCTCAATATAACTCCGAAGCAAATCCTTGCAAACTAGGACTTTTATTAACTGATGTATATGTAGATATAATGCAACATTTTTTTCTGCAAACACTTCAAAACAAAGCTGGTCCTGAAGTCAGTGAAAGTTTCCTCACTGCCTGGCGAAGAACTGCAATTTAGACTATTTTGGGAATGGTGAAGTCAAGAATATATTTACATTTAAAAACCAGAAGTTTAGGGTTTAAGTTTTGTTTCCTGTACTGAGTTTTAACAGAGGGGAAAAAAAGAAGAATTCACACACCAAAGCAGCTAGCAAAAGGTAAAAGTTGCATTCAGAAAAGGAAAACTGATGGCCTGTGTCAGCTGATACACATCTAGTAAAAGTTTCTAACCAGCACTCAGGCTGTAGGAGCAATGAAGACTGACATTTAAAACCATACCACATTTTCACATTGTAAGCGACACTCCCCTGTAGGTTTCTACATATCCAGACAAAAGTTGATTTTGAAGGTATTAAACACTAAGTGTTTTAAAAACCAATAAATTTTTAACTTAAGAAAGCCATGGTCATAGCTGTTTTTTTTAAATAAGAAAATAACGATACGCTAAATTCTAGGTGTGAAAGCCATTATTCACACCTGTGCCCAAATACTTTATTTGTCATTGGTCACTGAATTATTCAATTATTTTAATACTCTTTAGCATAGCTGCAATTGCAGCTTGTGCAAACACAGAACAAACTTGCGTGTGGACAATCCCTTAGTCTGAACAACTCTTGTTCACAGCAGTGCTGAGGGTACTACCTAATAGGTTTGGAAATACAATTTCTAGCACACAAGTATCTCTAGATACTTGAGCATACATACATCCTACGCATAGCAATTCTGGCAATGTTCTCTTACAGGCAGGTCTTGGTACATTTTTGCCTCAGTAGATGCACTCTATTTCTGGGTCTTTTGGCTTTCCTTCCTATACAGGCTACATGATCATGGACAAATTCCTGCTCAGTTCTGTAGATGTTTTTTCCTCATTTTATGCAGAACTTTTAAAAAAGTTCTGCTGGAAGCCATACAACACTTTGCAATTTTAGCTTATGGATCAATAGAAATACTGATTGAAGCTGTTACTGACTGATAACTGGGAAATGAAAAATTACAGCAATTCAGGAACAACCTTTCTCTCCTTTTCTTCAAAGCTCTGTTTTGATTTACAACATGATCAATCCTTACTGATCTCAGCAGAGGTTCTTTCAGCTTTGGATTAGGCTACATCCTACAGGCAATGAAAAAAACCAGCCTCAAAACACAAGTTTACATATGCTTTATGCGACGAGGATACCTTCCTATGTTTAGCGACATGATGATATAATTTTCTGTTGCTTCCTGCCTTCATTCACACTGAAGCTGGAATGCAGGATGTCATAGTTACATCACACAATGATGGGAAGATTCTTACAGTAACTAATAATAACAACAGATTGCTTTTTATCAACATGAGGCAGGCTAATTTCTACAATATGATGTAAAATGCAAACTGGACTCCTTTCAGTTTCTTTTCTCGGCAGTTCTCCCTTTCCTGTCTTTAGCATAAGTGATACTGCCATGGCAGTTGTGATGCTCAGAATAGAAAATGGAAACAAAAAAATTAATGAGCAGGCAACAAAACCAAATGACACCCAACATGCATACAGCATGGTTACTCTTCAATATACTTCAGAGATGCTGTGCCAAGCTGACAGCAGCTGATTCTGGGGGCAGGGCCAGCAAGCGTGGAAACGGGGTCAAAAAGCAAGGAGCTGGCAGGGCATTAATGCAGGAGAGGGACAGATCTTCTTGGAATGAGCTCATGTCTGAGCCAAGGACAATCAAGAGGGCTGCTGGGAGAAGGGCAGCAGTGGCAGGGGGCCTAGAGGTACTGGAGGTGCTCTTTAACTGCTGGCTTGGGAAATAGCTGTGATTTTGGCTGCCAGGTCCACTTGAGCTGCCCGCAGCACAGCCCTATTCGGAATCATTCAGTAACATATGGGAGCAAGCATTGAACCCATATTCACAAAGATGGAAAATCAGAGGCATGACAGTGTGGCATTTTCGCAAGTATCTGTGTATTTTTCAGGCAAGATACCTGGGGATCAGCAAGAGCTTTATCTTAAAATAGATACTTCAGAAATTTTCACCCTACCTGTCTGGCTTAATGTGCAAAAGAAGTCAGTACCACAACGGAAGCTAGACTAATGGAGTTTCAGAAAACCAGCACATACTGATCCTTCAGTAATCAATCATGATTTAATTTAGAACCAGTAATCAGTAGCTGATTATTTGTACAAAGTAACCACAATAATTTCAATCCTGAATGGAAAGCAATTGTTTTCAGGGACACAAGTAACTTCAGCTGCAGAGATGGTTTTAGAATCAGCCTTATAATATGGGACAAAAAGCCAGGAACATAGAGAGTAAAGCACACTGCTGCATTAAAAGAAAAATAAAAGCCTTCAGAAACTTACCACTGAGGTAAGAGCCATCTGAAAACTGTAGATTCGTGCAAGGCCAAAGTCAGCTAACTTTATCTGCCCGTTGCTGGTTACAAGGATATTTTGGGGTTTCAGGTCCCGATGCACCACACGATGTGAATGCAGAAAATCCAGTCCCCGAAACAGCTGAAGCATCATATCCTAAATATAAGGAAGAAATCAATACACAATTATCAAGACAAGGTGGCAAACAAGTAAACCCCATGTCATAATCTGCAAAATTAATGTAATAAATATTGACTTAAATATGTGCACAGGAGATAAAAACAATTACTAATATAAAAAGGACAGGATGTTGGTAGAACCAGCTGACTTGAACAGGTGTCCTTATCAAGTTAATGTATTGTTTCTAGTTGAATTATTTGAGGTTGATTTATAGAAGTATAAAGACTGGTCAACATACTTAAAAGAAATAGCAAAAGCATGTCTGTAAATCCCAGGACAACTTCAAAAGAATGCTGCCCAAGTAAGAAAAACACATAGCAACTTTTTGCTCTTAACTTTAAACCACACACCGCTTTGCATCTCAAAAGTTTATGCTTTGTCCTGCCCCAGTGAAGTGAAATTTTATCATTCACTTCAACAGGTACAAGGATCTGTTTCAATCAGAGAAGCTGTTAAAATGACAAATTCACCAGTATTTAATGTTACAGAGAGAAAAAGTTTACTTGGCAATACCTGTTGTAGGGAATTCACTGAATAAGACAGAAATTACCTTTAGATCAAAGTTTAGCACTGAATCAATGATTATTATCATAAGTAACAGTTCTCATTTTGCTTTCTGTTTTGTTATAGCGATGCAATCTTCTATGACATTTCCACAGCTCAAGAAACTATTTCATCTGTACTCCTGTTTTCACATTAATCTTAGTAACGTGAAAGGAATGAATCAACAGACTCAAAACTAAATACTAGAAATCCCCTAAATTCCAAATTAGAAGGATACTGTCAACTTGAAAATTATATTTGCAAAACAGGCAGCTACAAGAAGATGCTGCAACAAGTAAGAAACAAAAGGAATAAAAAAAAAGTTTATTTTCTGTATGCACTTGACTTGAGTTCATGAAACTCCAGCTCTGTGTTTGCTGGTGACATATGCCCTTTCCATAAGCCATGCTGTCAGCCAATCTTGTTATTAGCAATCAAAATGATCTTGGAGAGGTGGATGGCACGAAACATGAGAAAAGGGAAGAAGGATAAGTTGAAGTTGCTTGCTTTTGTTCTTCTTTATGGACTTGGGCATGTTTCAAGTAAATATTCAAGGCACACTGTTAAAAAGAATTATATCTGAAAGCAGGTTTAAAAATAGCTCAAAACATTCAACTCAATAATATTGATTTAGCTGGATGCATTTTTAAGGTACTCTTTATAGACATTGCTATATAATTTAATACAAAATTATTATTTTCATGTAATGTTCCCTGATCATGTCTGCAGAAAGTATTATAAAATGTGCAGATATTAAGGCTGGAAGCTCTAATCTGACCTCTGATAAAACATGGCCATTTCTACATATAGCCTATAACTCTGCCTGCCAAACAGTAGTAACAGTAACAGATCATAAAGTAATCAGCTTTTATTTTAAGACCCTGATGATGGAGATACCACCATAAACTATGGACGCTGTGACAGCATTTAATTATTATCACCTCTGAAGAATGGTGGTAAATTGAGAACCCTGGTTTATTCCCTTTGCTTCCCCAGGAAAAACCGAGATCTGATCATTTTGATAACCAGTGTAATTTGCATCTTCAAAACATATGTACAAAGTGTATTAAAACTTCTTGTATTTATATAATTTCCCCTTGCAGTTCAGAAATATGTGGATGAGCTAAGACTACAGCTCTGCAGGTTTCAGTCATCAGTAGAATTAATACATGTCATATCTGCTCACTCTGTGCTATTATAACTTAAATCAAATCCCAGCTGTCTTTGGATCAGTCTTGCAGATGTAAAGAACATGCCAAGAACATTTAAGCACACGGTTATCTTAAGTATGTACTTAATGGTTTCACTGAATTTGGACCCAATTTTTTTTTATTCCAGGTAGATATAATATCAGATAAAATAAGAAAATAATTTAAAGAACTCAAGGATTAGTCAGTAGACCCTGGCGAGTCCCTTTTTGGTGACATTTCTGCATCCTATTCATTTGTCAAGTATGTAAACTCATTCCTGCAGTTACCAAACATATCAAGAATATTTTTTTTCCTACAACTGGTGCTGGTTTTGTTTCAACTTTCTTCCTCAAGCTCAGAAAATGTAATTCTGCTCTGCTAGTTGCAAGCAATGTTTTCAGTTTCTAAATTCAGAGTCTTCTTCCAGGCACAGGTAAAAAAAGAAAATATTTGAAAATGGAAACTGGTACATCTTTCCCTCCCCCCATAGGACTCAAAAGATGAATATCATTTACTGAAGTTCTCTTCACACACGAAAAATGAGATATGCTGCAGAAAAGTGTACCAGGAAAGAGTAAATTTAAAAGGTATTAGAAAGAAGAAGGAAAACTGGGACAACAGTGCTGTATTTCCTCTTGCAGGAAATTCAGAGTTTGTCCATACAGGCTATTCTCTAGTATTCATTTTGGACTGTTGATTATGCTCTTTTGCTATCCCTTATTACTTACTTGTATGAACAAATTTCAGTTCAAAATTATCTTGGAAGAACAGCCCAAAGATTCCTGTGTGTAAAGAAGTAATGTAGAGACCATTTACTATTTGTGATTCATTATTGTCCTGTTTTTAAATTCTCAGCCAGTTAGAAAAAGAGCAGAAACCAAAACACATGACATAGGCTTATTATTATGCACTTTAAATACAGAATACCAAATTGTGCGGCTCAGAATTTGATATTTGTTTGCACAAATAGGTTTTCAACATCAAAGCAAACAAAAGAGAGAGCTTTTAAATTACTTTTTTTTCCATAATGAGTGATTGATTCTGTGCTATACACAAGCCTAGTCAAAAACCATTAGGCCTCATGTTTGGAAAATGACTTCATACTCTTAGTCAGCCACTTGCAAGAAACATCAGACCCACTCTGGGCTGTGTGTTTTCTTTGATACTGCAACTAGTACCAGAAGATACTAACCTTCGGTAGCAAATTGGATAAAGGCCGTAAATATGCACAAGCCAGATCACCAGCTAATTAAATAGGATAATTCCACTTATCTCATGGAAATGCATCCTTTTTTATTAGTGATGATTACCCAGTATTATCTCAATTACCAAGATCTGGAAACAATTGCAAGAGAGTCTTCATGTGTCTCAAGGATTAGTTTGTTCCATGTCTGCTTTTTTCTGAGAAATCTTCTCTGGTAGCTAGGCATACCATACTTTGGAATTACAGTTAAAATCGTATTTCGAAAGTTAATTGAAAAATGATCAATTCTATTTGAGAAACAAGAAGATTTATGCCTTAGCAGATTTGAGGAACAAGCTCTAATGAGTCATGATCAAACCTCTACTGACGTCTATCAGATGTTCTTTGGATATTGTATGTTTACAAACATAGACACAGAATAGTGTTTGTTGTTTCTGATAGAGATTTCTGCCATACTTCTAATACCACAAAAGCTACAATGGTTGTTGCCCGAGTTGAAGATATATACATTATTCTACTGTGATTACTTTTAGATAATCATGGCTTTACAATGTTTTTCCTTTTCAGGCTACGTTTTCAATGGGGTCTATGCACAAATCTAAAATATTTATCTGTAACTCTGTTGAAAACTGAGCTATTTTGGGATGTGACAAACAAATATACTTTCCTTAGAGGCAAATATGTAGCTTTAATTTTGTAAAAGGCTCAGAATGGAAACAGTTGGGAGCAAAATTTGTTATGGAAATGCATCTTTTGGATGTTCCACTATATACGGTATGGGCGATGGCATTGCTCAGTCTGATATTTACTGAATTTATCAGCACTGAACGTCAGGACCAAATTACGATGAACTTTTCAAGCAATACCATATTATGTCGTGAGTCTTAATAATACAGAGAAATATGCCCTGCATATTCTGCCTCTGGTGTCAGCGAGGATGGGGATAGGCTTGGGTTTGGCTGAGCGGCTGCTGTTGCTGCCCCTGCCAAAGGCAGGCGTCACGGCTCGCATTTCCCAACTCAGAGGGAACAGGAGAAGAAAGCCTTCATTTCCTACAGACTTTTCTCTCCTCCTCCTTCTCCTATCCCCTTTTGACTCTACACTTCAGTGAGTCCTCTTAACCCTCCTTCAGCTTCTGATCTGTAAGTCCCTTCCAAGCCATTGGTTTTCAAAATACTGCTCTGACCCTTTAAGTCACCCACCATCTTGACTTCCAGCTAAGATACCTGTCAACTGCCTGCAGTAACTTACTTGTTTAAGACCATCCAGATCCTCTGGAGTGCTCTGCCTGCCTAATCCAAAAGAGGACGGCATGTCTGTCAACCAAATAATCCAAGTATCTACTCAAAGAAAACAGCAAGTATTAGTGGTGCCCAGGTGCTGGCAGCCGGGGCTGCATGAGCCTCTGTCAGGGGAGACCAGCGGCTGCCCCATGCCATGCCACACACAGCTGGTTGTAGCCGGCTCCAGCGGACCCACTGCAGGGCACAGCTGGGCCCATCAGCCAAGATGGCGGTGCCTCTGTGAAAACGTATTTAAGAAAGGGCAGAAAAGGCTGGAGGGAAAGAGGCGGGGGGCCTCAAAGGAGTG